TCTCAGGGAGTTATGCCTCGTAGAAGGAGGTTTACCTACACCGGCAAAAGCCCTCTGTTCTGCCATTTTACTGCCAATTTACTTGTGCAAAAGCACATTTGAGGTGTGGATGCTCTGCAGGTTTTTGCACAAAATGGCCATTTTTTGCGCAAAAACGTTGCAGGATAGACATAGCCCTACTATCCCCATTCCAACTTTCTTGCCAGCCATAAGCTGCCTGGCCAGCTCCAATCCTTCAAACATCACACAGTTGAAAGGAACGGAACTGAATTTCTGTACATCTTCTGGTGCCTCCTGGAGAGGAGCAGTGTTCCTATGAATGTACAGACATTTTCAGGAGTTCAGCTCCCTTTGGAAGGACTGTGAAGACTCCTCTCAATAAAGGACAGAAATGTTAGCAGTAGGAGATGATGTGATCAGCAGACTAAATTGGTATTCCTTACCCATGGCCTCCTAAGAATGGCCAGTTTGCACCAGCCCTCTTGCAAAGGTCATAGGATGTGTGAGAATGGGACTTGTCTCCAGCCTACCTGAGGACCACTTACAAGGAACTGAGGTAATTCCCCCCAGAAAAAAACTGCAGTAATGTGGAATTAAGGCTGAAGATACATCAGTGGTTTGAATGCATATGACCCTTCAGGAATGTAAGAAATTAAAAATACAAACAACAGTGCTTAAACGTTAGAAACCCAGTACATTCAGAGCTAAAGTTGCATTTTTAAGCAGGGCAACTCTGTTTCACAGCAATGTCCTGAACCCCCCCACCCCCGAAACACACACTAACTTATCCAACTCAAATAAAATGTCCTTGGATAGATGGTCATAAAAAGCTAGAAAACCTCTGTTTAATCATACAGTAATTCTGCTACTTTCTAGCTTTGCTAACAGCCATATATAGTGCACATCAAAGGGTTTTCCAGAGTCTTGATTAGACAAATACTAGGCTGAAAACAATCACTTTCCTCATTTCATTAAGGGTCCGATTCTTTTAGGTGCTGAGGGCACGCAGGGCCAGCTATACACCGAATGGGAATTTCAAAAGCGCCTGGGTGATTCAATAGGAGTTAAGTACCTAACCTGCTCAAGGCATTTTTAAAAACCACTGGGTGCTTGTAAGCATCTTCAGATACCCAAAGACCTATACAAATCTGACCTTCCATGCCTTGCAGGATCATGCTCTACTTGTAAAAGAGATGGTACTCACCTGCCTCTAAAACAGAATATAGTAATTAACTAATATTTATTAATGCATAAAGATGCTTGAGTGGAAAGCACCGGCCTTATCTATCTATTCAAGTGTCATTAGCTACAGAGCTAGCATGTGACTATATACAAATCTCAAAGACTTAGGTTAAATTAAATTAAAGCACTTACCTAAAAAGAACAAAAGTCAGTGTGGTGCCAAAACAGTACACTAAGTACAGGAGACAGGTATGCATGAAATAAATGATAATGCCTGTGTTCCACAGTGCACATTTTCAATACCATCTTTTTTGTCATGCAGTGTAGGCAGACATTTCTAAGGGGGCGGAGATAGGTACTCAGATACTATGGTGATGAGGAATATATAAGTAACTTGATTGATAGCTAGATAACAGTAATTTGAGTTACTTGTTTGAGAAGTACCCTTTAACTCTGAATTTTCTGGGTTTCTAACACTTATTTTGGTTTTTATTCAACTAGCATTTTCAAGAGATGATTTGCTCTGTAGCCACTTATATGTGCCTGCAACCTTAACTTTACCTCCTAGTTTCCATGAGCTTTTGCAGGCAAAACCCACTTCCTCAGACGAGAGAATAAGATGACTCTCCTCTGAGGAAGTGGATTTTGCCCATGAAAGCTCATTATACTTGGCTGTCCCCTGAGACTTTCACCTCCTAGATGTGTGTGTGGAGGAATTGTACATGCCATGACAGGGAGCAGAGTACAAAAGGACAGAGTAATCTGAACTCAGCACCGATAGCAGAGGGGGAAACTGTCCATTTGATTATGGGGCTGGGGGACTCTGGAGAGAAGCATAATGATAACCCCTTCTAGTGTGGGGCACAAGGGCTTCTGGAAGGGTACAGTACAGAGACAGCTCCTTCCCCACCCCACCCTTACTGTGGACACTAGAGTTCCACACTGTTTTATAGTGGATTGTTATATGACAGGTTGGGATAGACCAGTCACCACAAAAGATCACAGAAAGTAGAGACATGGGTAAGTGTTCAAGGGTTGGTTAGGTATATGTCCATCAAGTCTGATTACTGTGGGTTTGTGCTATGGTCTGTGCACATGTGCAATCAGAGCTGTAGGGTCTGTGTGTGCCGAAATGTAGCCTCTATGTGTACAAACTGTGGAATCTGAACACTTGCGTTTGCATGCATAACACACACACACATTGTGTGTGTGTATTTATACAGGTTTCTTAGGTCTGTGTATTGATAATGACACGCAGTTGCCTACTTTACAAGCAGGAGGAAGCACAGCATCCAGAACAAGAGAAGCCATGAAACAGTTACCGTCAGATCTGTTCAAAACCATTTCCACCAAGCATAAGAGCCCAGTGCTAGCCAGAGGCCCTGTGCCAATAACTAGGCTGCAAGGTCATTGGTGGACACCAGGAAAGTCCTCTTCTTTGTAGAAGCTGTCACTACCCAGCTCCTCCTCTTCCTTTTCCTCTTCCTCCTTTTCCAGGTGCTGGTTCATCATGGACTGCACCTGGGGAGAAGAAGACCGTGATCAAGTCACCTTCCGATGCCATAACACTGGAGCCCAGAGATAGCATCTCAACCACTTTTGACAGCTCTGAAATCTGAAGTACACAGGACAAGGTGTGTGTCTCCCTGGAGGAGGGGAGTGATGGAAGGGATCTTATTTCTGTGATTTATCTTCTGTCTTTACTGTAATCCCCTCATATATCCTGTTGTACTCCCCCTTCTCTCCCCATTTTCACTCCTTCTTGCGCCACAAGCTTTTAGTTCTCTGTATTTTAAAACCCTCTCATTGCTGACAGACCATTCTCTGCCTATGATCTCCTCACAATTACAGACGCTGTCTTGTAGGACATGGTCTCCTGCTATATCTTTCCCTTCTGCACAACAGCTCTATCCTCCAGGCTTGTTTCCCCAACCTGACTCCTTTAAAACATTCAGACCCTGTTGTCCAGGGCATTCTTCCCCAGTCATAACCTGCCCCTTCAGCGTGCCAAGACCCATGGTAATAGGAACATTCATGGCTTCACGGCAGCTCCAGCCTGCTCAGTCACAACAGGATTCTGCTACAGACCACCCCACACATACACCCCACACAAACACCCCCAAAAATCCTCCATACCTGCAGCAACATGAACTGCAAGGGGTCATCTGGTTTCTCATACACCAAGTTTTCAGTGATCTCCTGTGAGAGAAAGTGAGAGCTTTATATTCATGATGAAGGCAGGTAAGTTCTGCGGAGGGCAGGGATGCCCTGTCCTTTGGGATGAGATTCCAGAATATTTGGGATGTGGTACTAATGTTCATGAAAATAAAGCAGTGTAACAAGTAACGAGGGGCTGGTAAATACTGGTAATGATAGAAACAGACACAGGAATGTTTGGAAAATGCAAACAAATACAAAAGAGCTGGACTGGATAATATGTCATGGGAATTGGTTATTAAGTTATGCAACCACTGGCAATTATTGTTCAGAACCCCTGAAAAATGGTGGAGGCACAAAGGGTTGAGTGTGTTACTGCTCTGCTGAAAAGGAAAGAAGAGTGATCCAGATAATTGCCACCCACTAAATCTAACTTCTGTTCCCGGATTTTAAATATTTAATCTATTGTTTTTAGCAGTAGACATACTGAAGCATAACAGGACCATGAGCAGGATGTTGGCTGATAAAGGGTATGTCTACACTGTAGCATTTTTCCAGAATAATGGGCGCTATTCCAGAAAAACAATGCTTTTGTCCACACTGCCATTGCATTCTTTTGACAAATAGTCAAAAGAATGGAGGGGTTTTTCCGACATTGGTAAAAACCTTTTTCTACAAGGAAGAACACCTTTTCGGAAAAAGGTGTGCGTGGATGCAGAAGAGGGAGTTCTTTGGAAAAAAGAGGCCTCCAGGAAATAACACAGGTGCCCTGCTGGCCACTCCATCCAAACTCATCACAACTCTATAGTTCCTATCTCCAGGTAGCTCTTAAAGCCGCAGGCACCTGGGACAAGGCTTGTAGCAGTAAGCTGGCCCTGGGAGCTGCACCTCACTGCACGGCTTCCAATTCCTGACTTGCGGACACCAATGTCCCAGCCACAAGCCCCCCCGAGAGCCCACCGGCCCTCACAGGAAGCATGCCCAGGGCACCCAGGAGCACAAAAAGGCATGTGCCGTCATGATCTGGGGTGGAGATCCTGGCCCTCCTGGAGGTGTGGGGTGAGGAGAAGATCCTCCAGGATCTCCGCTCCAGACAGCACAACGCCAATATCTATGGCTGGATGGCCAAGGCCCTGGCCACAAGAGGCCACCACCCCAGGAACCCTGAACAGGTGTGCAGCCAAGTTAAGGAGCTGTGGCAGGGCTATTCCAGGGCCAGGGAGCACAACTCTCACTCCAGCGCAGAACCGCACTCCTGCCCCTATTCCAGCAAGCTCTACCACATCCTGGGGGGTGGTTGTGATGGGACATCAGGGTCCCCCGCCTCCTTCACCCCCATAGTGGCACGAACAGACTCCACCAGCCAGTAGAATAGAGGGAGTTTATTGCTTCTCCAGGATATAGCACAGCACAGATGTAATCTGATTACAGGAACTGGGGCTAGGAGGCCTCAGTGCCCCCCCTTGAGATGGGGGGTGGCTGGGCCCTACAATCCCAGCCCCCTCCCTAGCTCCTTCTCCCCTGCTTCCCAGACAGACACTAACTAACTATCCCTTCCAGCCCTGCCCCCCAGCCAGGGGCGGCATTTCAACTTCCTTTGTTCCTCTCCCTGAGAGGTAACTGGTAGAACAGGTTACCTCCCTGTCCCATCAGCTACTCTGCTGGGCCATGGTACAGACAGCAGCCAGTGGGGGTCGCTCACAGCCCAAGCCTAGCAACCAGCAAGGTACCCACACTACATCACAGTGGTGCAGCCCCTTTCCCATCCCTTGTTGTGGACTCGGGGCTGGAGACTCCCATCATTGCCTGGGCAGAGGTCCCAGAGGACGAGGAGGAGGAGAAGGAAGAGGAGGAAACGGCCAGCACCATCACCCTAAGCCTGGAGCTGGTACTCCAGGGCCAGGACGTCGCCCAGGCATCCTCTGAGGTTGGGGAGGGATTATCAGGTGAGTGCTCTTAGTTTTTCACACACACAATGTGGAGGTGGCAAGCACTGAGGTGCTATTGTCGCTTGGCCTTCTCGGCCTGGCCCTCACACTGCAGTCTGCGCATGTGGATGCACGTGCAGAGCCAGTCTGCAGCACTCAGCCCCACAAGGCAGCCCTGGACTCCCCTGGGCTCCTGTTCATAGGCTTTGGGGAGGCCACACACAGGTCTGACCCCTGGAGAGGGATGCCCTCCCACCACCAGCCACTGCTGGAAGCAAGCTGGGGACAAGGGCACACACATGCCCATACACAGACTGAGGAGTGCCGCACACGGGCATGCCTGCACGCTCGAGGCACCACCTGCTCCCGGGGACAGCGCTGTCAGGCGCAGGTGTGTGTGGGGCCCCGATGGAAGCCCCTCTCCTGGCCATGGGATCCCAGTGTGGCTGGAAGCTTCCCTTGCCTGCTTGACTGTGGGATGTGGGGCGGGAAGGTGAGAAGCATGGTTCCTTCGGCACCTCTGGACCTGTGAGGCAGGACCCGCTGTAAAAGCTTAGTACAAAAGAAACTTGCACTGTAGACGTAGCCAAAGAAAAATACTGCCAGGTCCCTTCCTCTGCAGTAGTCAAAGGAGATGAAGAACTCAGCCCTCCACCCTTCTCAAAAACACTCACTGCCTTGCCTCCCTGCCTCCCAGTAGGATCCACAGGAAGAAGGATATGCTCCTTCCTGGCTCAATGTGGGAGGTTCTGTTTCTCAAGCGAGTCACTAGGAGAAGAGGAGATGGAACAGAAAAGTTCACCTGAAATATCTGCAGAATGTTATGTTTCTCCATGTACCTAACGGAAACTTCAAAGGGATCTTCATACACCACAGGCGTTTCTGCCTCAGGTGATTTGACCACTTCTGCTGATTCAGCCTCAGGTGCTTCAACTACTGTCTTTGCAGGTTCAGCCTCAGGTGGCTTGACCACAGATGGTGACAATTCATACACAGGTGTTTTGACCTCAGTTGTTGGTAAGTCAGTCATGGATGATTTGTTATCTGACTCTGACAATTCAACCATGGCTAATGTGGCCACGGACTCTGACAATTCATCTGTCGGTAACTCTGATGTTGGCAATTCGACTATAGGTGGTTGGTCCACCGACGCTGGCGATTCGACTACTGGTGACTGGTCGACAGATGACTCAATCACTGCTGCTGGTGATTCCGCAAGCTCCTGCACTTCATCCATTCTAGCTTCTTCAGGCTCTGGCTAAAAGATTTAACATAAAAAAGTGTTAAATGCATAGAATTGCTTACTAGACACATTACATTACTGTACCATTATATGACAATAGGACTTTGCAGCTACAGCTCCTACAGCAAGGGCTTGTCCACCTCTCTTTCTGGGAGAGGCTGGTACTGGAATGAGCTTCATCTCTTTCTTAGCATGACTGAAAAAGGAAATATGAATTTTCTGTTCCTTGTATAAAACATAGACTACTCAAACTGGAAGGGACCTTGAGAGGTCAACAAGTTCAGTCCCCTGTCCTCATGGTAGAACCAAGCACCATCTAGATCAGTGGTTCCCAACCTTTTCCAGATGGGGACCTATTTTGACAATTCAGGAAGACTTAGTGACCCAAGGCAATTCAAAAGGGGGGGGTGGGGGGGGGGGGGGGACAGAGCCACCTGGGGAGACACTTGGCAACCCTTTTGAAATGTAATGGTGACCCATATTTGGGTTGTGATCCATAGGTTGGGAAACCCTGATCTAGATCATCCCTGATAGATGTTTATTTAGCCTGCTCTTACATATCTTCAGTGAGTGACAGCCTCTCTAAGCAATTTATTCCAGCACTTAGCCACCCTGGCAGGTAGGAAGTTTTTCCTATTGTCCAACCTAAACCTCTCTTGCTGCAATTTAAGCCCATAGCTTCTTGTCCTATCATTAGATGTTAAGGTGAACAATTTTTCTCCCTTCTTCTTGTAACATCCTTTTAGGTACTTGAAAGCTACTATCATGTCCCTTCTCAGCCTTCTCTTTTCCAAACTAAACAAACAGGTTACGTCTACATTGGCAAGATTTTGTGCAAATACTTTTAACGCAAGAGTTTTTGCGTTAAAGTATTTGCACAAGAGAGCGTCTACACTGGCACGTGCTTTTGCGCAAGAGATGTGCTTTTGCACAAAAGCATCCATGCCGGTGTAGATGCTCTCTTGCGCAAGGAAGCTCAGATGGCCATTTTAGCCATCGGGCTTTCTTGCGCAAGAAATTCATGTTGCCTGTCTACACTGGCCTCTTGCGCAAGAACAGTTGCGCAAGAGGGCTTATTCCTAAGCGGGAGTATCATAGTTCTTGCGCAAGAAGCACTGATTTCATACATTATAACATCAGTGTTCTTGCGCAAGAACTCCCCGCCATTGTAAATAGGCAGCATGTTTTTGCACAAAAGCAGCCGCTTTTGTGCAAAATCATGCCAATGTAGACACAGCCACACAGTTCTTTCAGTCTTCCCTCATAGGTTGTGTTTTCTAAACCTTTAAACATTTTGTTGCTCTTCTCTGGATAGTCTTCAATTTCTCCAGACATGCTGGTTTACAGGTGAGATCCTAGCTCCATAGAAGTCAATGACAAAACTCTCATTGTCTTCCAGAGGACCAAGATTTCAGCATCTTTCCTTTCCAGCTCAGAAAGAGGGTTAAGCAACATATGACTCTGCAATTCTGCTGTTTTTAATGGGCACCAGTTTTTAAACAATCAAACAAACAAACAAACAAGTAAGAAAGCAAGCAAGCAAACACAACCACAGAGCTGAGAATTTAATACAAAATAGTTCTTTTCATCCTTTGGCAGCAGTGTGCATCAGGGATGCAAAATCCTATTTAATTAATTAACCAGCTAAACATTAAGTTTAAGTGGTTAACTGATTAAAAGGGGATGGGTGGTGCTTACCAGGTAACTGGTTAACTGGATACAGGGTGTCCCCACTATAAATTGCCCTGGTATACAGCCGTTCTGCACTAAAGTCCTTGATGCTTGTCGGAACTGATGTGTTATAGGTCCTGCCATTCCCCAGTCTTAAATCGCACAAAGAAAAAATTGTGCAAATGGAAGTCAGCTGCAGGAAAAAGTTCTCTGCTTTAAATTGTCTTGCTGTAAGTCCAAGTTTTTGGAACATATTTTGTACTTATAGCGAGAGCAGCCTGTACCCATTCACATCACTAGTATGCATCTTGGTGCAGGACTCAGGAGACCTATTTGGTACTCCGGGTGACTGGAGGCAAGACACTTGATTTTTCCCTGCCTCAGTTTCTCTACTGGTAAAAGGGGATAATGATATTGACCTCCCTTGTGCAGCACATTGTGCCCTGTGGAGTCTACATTATAACAAGGAGTGAATATCCCTGTGTCCATTTTCTGGAGGGGGAGAACAGGAGAGAAGAGAGAGAAATGACTGGCTCAAATTTGAACACCTGTTTCCCATGGCTGCATGGGGTGCTGTGGGGATCCGCGTGGGATCAGACACCACAGGGCAGCGGGGTGGGAGCTCCTGCTGTGCAGAGGCTGCAGGGGAGCGTGTGTGTGATGGGGGGCGGGCACTGGGGGA